GATGGAAGGACATTCGTTGAAGGACAGTATTTTCTTTTGCTTTCTCTCTTGCTCTGAATGAGTCCGAAGTGAACTAAATATAACTTACATTTATAACGAAATGAAATTAAGCGTTCTATTGTTGATGGCCTCTATTGATGGCAAGTGGAAAGAGGGTCAGCGCCACAGCAGAAACGCTGGCGGTTTGGACGCAAATAAACACGCGAGCTGCAGCAGTTCAGTTAGATACCTGGTACACACAGGTGAGGTAAGAAATGTGGCACAGGCTTTAGCCAGTATTTATAGTGAAGTCTGCGGTTTTATAGTTTGATAGCAGCGCTGTGGGGTTCTCAGAGAGTTCTTTTTTTTTTTTATTTGGAAGATCTAGGTCGTACTTATTTAAGTTGCCGTTAGCTATCCTTTCATTTTCTATGTATCAGTAAGAATCTTCTAGCTTCAGACCTTTTCAGAACATTGAAGACAGCTTCATGTAGTGTGTGTGAGCAAGTGTCACCCTTCCTCTGAGAAGTCAGCTCCACCTGAAGCATTACTTTACTTGCACAAAAAGCGAAAGCAGAGTTTCAGTCATTCTTGATTTTCTTTTTCTTTTCTTTTTTTTGCTTTGACCTCTTGTGTGTTTACAAGTTTGTGTGTGTGTGTCAGCCTCACCTCAAGGTGATCGAGGTGATTGGCAGGTGTAAGGGAACATGTAGGTGATACCTCTGCCTTCTCTCAGTTTTGGTTTTCAGTTGCAAAGCCTCTATTATGTGCTATGTGACACTTGTGTGCCAGCACAACTGACTTCCATTTGCGTTAACAGTGAAGCAACCCCCTCCCACGCACACATCTACACACTGTGTGTGTCTACGGTGTCACTGATCACCACTGTGACTTTGAGGGCTGCAAAGGCGACTCAGTGGTTACTGATTATTCGCAGTATAAATCCACATTGTGGGTTTTTTGTGTCTACGGCCTGTTTATAATTCATCTGCTGATGGGGTGTAACTGACCTACATACGCAACCTGGGTGGGAAACTATCAGACAACAGTCAAACACTAAATGCTTCTTCATGTGGGGCTGTGAAGTCTGAAGTCTTAAACACTTCACCAGACAGCATTTGGTTAACTTTCCGCTGTCACCGTTTGCCCCAGCAACTAAACTGTCTTTGGTGATAATTGTAAATTTAGAAAATCTGTAGAACTCCTCAACAAATTATGTACACATTTAAAAATCTTCGCCTGTTTTGTAGAGATTAAAAAAAGTTTTAGTGGTTTGTAAAGTTAAAAAACCAGAACAACAATCTTCTTGTCAGCTCTGCACTTTTAATGGGCTTCTTTTTTTTTGTTCCAGAGGATTTGGTCAAGGGGCGTGTACCCTGCGTTACCAGTTGGCCCAGTTTCTAGTCGTTTATCTAGTTTCTTATTGTTTATCTCAGTAGCAGAGCTTTAATCCTAGAGGGGCCCCTGCCCCAGCACACATACTATAGATGTGAAAACCTATATAAGCCGTATACAACCACACCCACCTCAGCCTGATAAAAGTTTGCGTGCATGTGGGTGGGTGAGCTGTGGCGGCAGCAACCGGGGAGGTATAATGTACACAAGGATTGTATACATGGAACCGAGAGAGGACAAGAGGTGCACAGGACGAGAAGGAAGCTGTAGATGTAGAGAGACAAATGGAGGGACAGATAGAAGTGTAAAAAAAAGACAGAAAGAAAAACAGCAGTGACTGAGGGCTGAAGCCTTCAGACCCAGAGCTGTTTTCAGCCATTTGCCTCCATAATGGATCTCCATTAACAGCTTGTCTCCAAGCCGCAGTTTGACATATTTATAACGACATGTATGAAAAATGACGTGGATGTGTGTAGCTTAGGAGGAACCTGGTTTAGTGGAATTTTAAAAAAGAAATGATTTAGATTTGCTCTTGATAGTAGCTCCTTTTACCTGCTCCAGAGCTCAGCGTTGCCTCCCTACCACCAGTTTATTTCAAGTCTTTCAACCTTTCCGCTAACATAGATTGCCTTCTGGACCATTTCTATATTAAATACTGTGCTTCAGGGTGAACCAAAAGTGTTGAAGTGCGTAGGCTGCTCCATGGGTGCAAACGCCCTGAGAGGGGCATCCACGGTTTGACTCCTGGTGGGGGAACATTTGCTGCATGTCGTTCCAGTGCTCTCCTCCTTCCCCACCTTTCTCGTCTCTCTCCACTGCCACAATGAAATAAAAGTGATCTTTATAAATACTTTGTTTCAAGCAGTTCCTTTAACATCTCAGAGCAGATTAAAATGTGTCTCTGTGCCACTGATTGCTCGACGTGTTCTGCTGTAAACTGCAAATGTGCAAAGAAAATTGCAATGCGGTCATAATTTAAGGTTTCAAAAGGAACTGATTAATTTGATTGGATTAAAATTGGACCCTTCGTCATTCATACTCTGAGTGTACCTTTAGTCAGGTAAAGGTAATTAGAAAATTATATTTAAAAGCTCATTTCTAACTTGTCTCTGTTGGACTGGCTCTTGCACAGCTCACCAGTATTCCATATAATGTCACAGTTACTTGATTGCATTCAATTGTATTCTAAAAATACACCTGGATAAATTACGCTTTACTCTATTATGCTGGTGTGAAGTGCATCACTAGGTAATGTGATCACCGTCTCCTGAACACTCGCAGTCTGTGCGGGCCAAACTTTAAATGTGAAATTCAATTTCAGAAACACGGAACAAAACAGAAGGTAGCAGCTGCAAGAATTTAGATCACATGCTCATTGATAAAAAGCATGATCCTGTGCCCATATCTGTTAACAGCGAACACAGGATGAGGCGTGGAACCGAGTGAGTGTGACGGATACTTTGAGCACACACTTCACTGTTGTCTCGTCGGGTCCCTCGGTGGGCAGGGAAACCGTAGAATTAATCAACACACAGCCTTTCAACGCTGCAGTTACATGTTGTTTGAATTGCTGTTAATGAATAATCATCACATGAGAATCTCACCTTTAATAGTTAATGCTAACAGGATTATATTCGTTGAAACCTGACATTTATTTGTGATTTCCGGTATCCTGGCATGTAACCACAGCTTGAGGACCGGAGGGGGTGGGATCTGAGTGCTCCCACCACACCACTGGGAAAATATTTATTGGTGTGATTAGGACAGAGAGAGCAAAAGAGGGATAGAGAGCAAATAAAGCGACATGGGGGGGGATGGGAGCTGGGGAGGGGGTAATTTCTAAGATTTATGGCGCGGCACTTCACGAAATGCATGCATCCTGTAATTAAAACTCCCCCCTTGCCTCCAGCAGGCCTGTACATTAGCTGGCATCCCCCACCGCAACATCCACCTCAACCCTCTTCAGTCCAGTTGCCCCCACCCCTCCGCTCCCACCCCCCACCCACTAGATAATAAGATCTTATGGCAGCTTGGCGTCACTAATGAGGGCTGAATGCCACAGTGAGGGACAGTCTGTTCGTGGTAAGAGGCCGCTACTGTCGCCATCGTAGGACGAGCCTTTCATTTTCGTTTTCTTTGAGCCGGAGCCTGACGGAAGTGCAAAAATCTGTCAAGAACAGGCTGCACTTTCGTGTAAAGGTGTTTCATTCATGTGGTGGCAGAGTAGCTCAGTATTTACCAAGTCAAAATCAGTCTGCGTGTGCACATGTCAGTCAGTCGTCAATTAAGTTTCATGTCAAGGTAGCAAATACAGGTTACAGGTAACGTTGAACATTTTTTCATGTCACAGTAATATGAATCGATAAAGGTTTGTGTATGCAGGACTATAGAAGAAGCATCGCAATTTCCTTCTTCATGCATGGTCTGTTTCTGTTTTGTCTGTTAGACACTGTCAGGGTTTGGCTCCGACAACATACATATTAACTGATCCGCGGTGCTGATAACGCCCCTGTGGCAGGGCTTGTTTTAGGAACCTATTATTATTACTTTTTTGGTGACACGATGTTGTTGTTTTCCTTTGTGCATCAACTATATTAAGACGGCAGTTTCAACACAGCAGATCAACCATGTCCTCTGGTTGTTTGTTTTTTTCCAACCAACATTCTAAAATCCAAACAGACGCAATTTACTATCGCACAAACCAAAAAAGCCCCTGCTCATATTGGTTATATGCATCGGTTTTCGCGCTGAGCTGAAGGATTTCCTGATGTGATATGAAATGCTTTACACCGGAGTGTGCAACATGAGGCTTGGTAACGGCTTGGTTGCTAGCTGTGGGCTGTTATGATGGCTGTGTAGAAACAATGCACTGCCTTGGTTCTATTTTCTGTGGTTTTGTTTGGTGGTGCTCAGTTGTACATTGTGTTTCACAACCTGCTATTTTCAATAACACATTATGAAACTCCATGACCTCACTTACGCACTGTGTGATGTGCAGTCGCTGATAGTGTTATGCTCGATCCAGGCTCGTATATTTAACTGTGAGCCCTGCTGAAGCGTGCAGATACTGGAGCTGTACCGCTGGCCGCTCACCGGCCAGAGAGTAAATGCCAACATTAAGTGTGTGACACATAAATAGAAAGACCTCTAACAAGATATTTCTCTATCACACTGGCAAACTAGGCTGGAAAAAACAACCACAGGCTCAATGGCCTCACTGTACTCCCCCGAGTGGGCGCCTCACTTTTACTGCTAACTTTCACTGAACTTTCCGGAGCCCGGGGCCCCGCTAGCAGCTGGACCCACATCAGGTTCTCATCAAGCCACACTGGTCCGCAGCATTTCTCTATTTTTCCCTCTGACATCTATCCATATGATCAAGGCGGCTGATCCGCCGCGATAACTGCTCGTGTTGTCATTTAAAGTCGCCACATTTTATTTGTTGAAAGTGTCGCGCATTATCGCAGTGGTTGCCATAGTAACAGGCATTGAGGTCATTTTCCGTCAGCTAATTGATGCATCTTTGTGTGTTCAGACTGATTTTGTGATCCTGATGTCAACGTTTTTTTGTTTGTTGTCGCCTGATATAAAAACTTCACGTGTCTCCCTCCTCTTCCTCTCCACAGCTGTATGAACTGGATGGAGACCCGAAGAGAAAAGAGTTTCTGGACGATCTCTTCAGCTTCATGCAAAAAAGAGGTATGCTGCTGTGCACGTGTGGATGTCCTTAAACCCCTAAACCCTGCCCCAGTATATCAAATTTGCTCTCACTCATGAAAGTACACCCTATCTGCTTAATTTCTTATCTTGGTATATTATATCTCCTCGCTTTATCTCCGGCCGGTGTCATAGGCAGCTCTTAATAGTTGCATATAGAGAGGATGATCACCCACCCCCTTCTCCCTGTGACACATGACACAGCACCGGCTACTCATCTTTCACTCAGATGGGTGGGGTCTTTATTCATTTCGGAGATGATTGCTTTATGGTCACACAGCCTCTCGTCGTTCCCAGGCTATAACTAGAAGGGACACGTTGTATTAATGCCTGGGGATGGATTGGTTTACCTTCCCATCCTGCCTGCCGCTTGTCCACATGGCCCTGCCCACGCTTATGACACCACACATACCGATTCCCATTTTTACTCATCTAGATGACTCTTGTTAGACTGAGGAAATTGGGGATTGTCTGTATTTGCTTGTATTGGGTACACAAAAGCCAAACGGTTCCTTGAGAGGATTCCTCTCTTGGTGATTTCACAGGTTGACTTTGGCTGATATAATCAGATCAGTGGGCCAACGGCTGACATGGGAGACAACATGCATGTGCTCACAACTGAAAAACAAGTACTACATGTTTACAATGCCGGAGCCACTACTGGTGGGTGGGTCTGCCGTGTCTGTTCTGAGAATGGAAGCGCCATCTGTAGGCCATGATGATAACTGAGGCATCGCTTCTTAATGTACTAACAGAGGATTGATTATATTTTACGATTAAGGTCTGCCCGACGCCTGGATCTCTTATTGTTGCAGGGAATGTAATATAAACAGATTAATGAAGGCTTGATTTTCCCTGCTGGACAGGTCGATACAACATTATATTAATATGTGATTAATACATTTTATATTATTCACACATTGTCACTAAATTGTAGGTATTGATCAACTGCTGTCCTCGGGCATTTTGCTCCCCTCTTGGTTTGACATTAACCTGCACTTATTACTGCTCCGGTTTGAAGATAATAAGAAAAGAGCCAGGTCACATCAACCAGACTAATGCTGGTTTGTCCTGCTTGTGAAACACATTCAAACACGTTCTACTCTACTAACCGAGGTATAATAGTGGGTTCTGTCAAGTAAAATCAAAATATTCATCACAGCTACCCTTCCTTATTTAGAACATTTTTATCACTCTTTCCCCGAGCAGGATGCTGTCTGAGGGTGTTTCCAGTTTCCTTTTACACTCTATTAATCAGCCACACACTTCGATTTTGATTACTTCAGTGGATGGATTGTGCACTAGTTTGCTGGCGGTGTGTTTGTACTCAAAGTTTAAAAAAGAAAAGATCCTTCAGCGGTTTGGTCCGTTGGAGGTGAGGTTTCCTGGTGCAGAGCTGGTGAGCAACACTCCAGTTTCAGGTGGTTGTAAAAATCATCAGAACTCAACAGCTTAATTCTGCTTTTCTAAAAATATGTAGCTGGTCGGTAAAATCTGCTTGTTGTTTTTCAAGAGTACCAGACACTGTGGCATGAAGTGTGCTCTTTTCATAAAAATGTGGCCAACTCCGAAATCATGCTGACATGGTCCAAGGAGATTTTTGCTTCAGTCACAGCTAATGTAATGTGTATTACGGTGTACTACCACAGCTGTTGTATGCATTTTTATTATGCAATTACTATTATTATTTTCTTAGTTGTACATAAAAGTATTTTTCGTCTTTTGACCTTTCTTGTCTGCGTGCGTTGTTGCAGGAACCCCGGTGAATCGTATTCCCATCATGGCCAAGCAGGTCCTGGATCTGTACATGCTCTACAGGCTGGTGACAGAGAAAGGCGGCCTGGTCGAGGTCATCAACAAGAAGCTGTGGAGGGAGATCACCAAGGGACTCAACCTGCCTACCTCAATCACCAGTGCAGCCTTCACCCTCCGCACACAGTCAGTGCACACACTCACACCTTCTGCCTTTGGTCTGAATTATACCTAAGGACTTTCTTTCTATGTATTACTCTGCTTTGTTTAAATTCGCTCCGTTGGTTACAACAAGAGCCACATGTAGCTTGTTCATTGAACCGTTGGGATAATATACCACACTAGTGATCGACGCAGTTCGAGGTTTTAGAATTTAAGGTGCCCCGAAGTGATTCTTTTGTTCTACTCAGCGCTTCGTACGTGTGGAACTGCAAGCTATCAAATATCACCAGCCATTTTGTTTTACAAAATTACCCCCATGTGTTGCAGTAACTTCCTGTAGCTGGTTTAGATTGCAGGATGTTCTCAGTCCCAGTTAGCTAAAGGTCAGATATCTTCTTAATCTCTTCTTACAGGAAGGAGACTTACAGTTTATATGTGTTGGGCGCCGTAGGCTAGACTTACACGCGTCTAATACTCATCACAGGGCGTCTCAAAGTAAACAGTCTTGTGTTTAAACAAACTGTGTTTATTTCAGATACATGAAGTACCTGTACCCATATGAATGTGATAAGAGGGGTCTGAGCAACCCCAACGAGCTTCAGGCAGCCATCGACAGTAATCGACGGGAGGGCCGACGACAGAGCTTCGGCAGCTCCCTCTTCACCTACTCGCCCAACGGGACTCCCACCATGCTGTCCTCGCCGAAGCTCCCCACGCCGGGTGTTGGCCTGACAGTGGGCACCAATGGGGCCTCGCTGACCCCCATCCAGAAGATCAAGAAAGGTGAAATTTGTTTATAACGTTAAGACGAGTAACATATTAAAGGAAAAAACTGAACCCTTGACCCCTGCATGAAGGGCATCTGGTTTCTCTGTAATGCTGTGGGAGACATTTTTAGTTCACTTGTCCCCTTAGATAGAAGACTCACAATACGCGGTCTAAATGATGATCGCCTTTTTTCTGTATTGAAACATCTCTATCCTGATAGGAGTGGTCTCTTCCAGCATGACAAAGCATCCATCCATAGATCAATAGGCCACGATGGATCACAGAAGGGTTAGATGGAAATGATGCGAATCGAACGTTATGGCATCACAGTGACCAGATCTGAACCCACCTATACAAATCTTTGTTCATCAAAACACTAAATGAAGGAATTGTTTGGAAGAATAACACCTTATCAAGATACGTTATGTTGGTTCTTTCTTTAATTTGTTGCCTATCTCAATTCAGAATGACGAAAACAGAAAGTCGATGAGGTTCCCTTTATAGTACAGCTGGAAATTGTAATCAGTCAAATCAGTTAGACTTGCTTATCAGTCAAGTATCAGTCCCTCTCATTAGCTGAAGAAGAAGTCAGGTCATGGGTTAAAATGATCATCAAGTCTTGAGCTTCCAAACAATATATTTACTCTTAGAATTCAGACCTGGTGAAGTCTTCATCTTTCCATATCGAGATGTGGCAGCAGATTAGATCTGTCGTCCTACTTCGGTCCACTGTTTACCTGCTAACGTGGTTCGAGAGAAACCTCGTTTATCTGGGCTGGATAACACATCACCCTTGGCTGTATATGAGTTTGCTTGACTCGAAGGTCTCCTCTCTCTCCCTCTCTGTGACGTTCAACCAGAAGAGGAGGGAGGCCAGCCGCTGCCGGGGGTTGGTGTGGCTCGTTTGCCAGTGGGGGCCTTGGCGGGTCACTCGGTGGCTGCTGTGCAGGCAGCGGCAGCCCAGGCAGCAATGGCAGCTCAGGTGGCTGCTCTGGAACAGCTGAGGGACAAACTGGAGGCCGGGGAGCCACCAGAGAAGAAGATGGCGCTGCCAGCCGAGGAGCACCACCGACTGCTGCAGAGAGCGCTGCAACACAACCTGCTGGCCATGACTGCTCAGATACCTATGAACATCCGCATTAACAACCAAGGTACAGACAACGCAGTGGAGAATCTGATATGTTCAGCTAACATGAGAGGCAGCGAACAACCAGTCAGACATGACTTTCATGTTTCTTGTCAGCTGAGGAAATTCCTCCTTATCTAATCAACCAGAGATAAAAGCATGAACTCGCTGTCGTACATCTGCTGAGTTTCAAAAGCTCTAACTTTGGTGAGGTTTCTAAGATGGAAGAATGTTGATTTTGAAGTGAAAGGAAACTATATTTTCCACATCAGTATCGACTTCTAAGGTAAACCAAAGTGTGGGCTTGTGATAAAAGTAGACAACAGTGGTAACTTTCTAACTTAGTATTATTGTTTCTATCTTGACTACATTCAAAAATGTTATTACGCGTTCATCTGTTTTCTTCAGAATGACGGGTTGCACAGATAGAAACGCTTAATTTTGTAGAACAGACATCAATATATGCAAACACCCGCTTGAAAATTAAAATGTAACCCCTGGTGATGAATGACATTGCCTAAAGCTAACATTTAGATGGATAATAGAAGGAACTACGGGGTGCTGCTTTGGAAATCCATATTCATGCACTCAAAAGTGCAATAATCAATCAACACAGAGTGTGTCCCCTCAGAGATCTAACTGCACATCAGGTCAGAAAATACTTTCTGAATCTGCACTAAATCTGAAATGACTCCAAACGTTGTCCAGCTTAGTATCTGTGCTTTTCCATTTCCATACAACACCAAAACAAATCTTAATCCGCTGAAAGAATCATTTATGCATCAAGTTCTGACTCTGTCACAGCTGTTGTGGGCATCGTTGTTCAGTCTACATTTCATTGTCAGCTATGTGATCTGGATTTCTCTATTCACGGCAGTTAGTATCACAATAGATTCTTGCCATCTCACCACAAACCACAGCAGCCAACAGGGAGGAAGTAGCCCAAAGCAGGCCCATAAGCTGACCTGTTTATCTGGTAGTGGTGCATGCGTGCATACATAAACTACCTATGTATTTGTCTGTGGGGGATTCCCTTCTGTAAGCGGGCACTTTGATCTTATAGCAGTTTTCTTGGTTACCGACTATCTGACGGAACGTGCAAACAGTTTCTCAGTAAGTGATAGTGCAGGTGACTTCAGAGAAATGTACAATTGGACATTTTTGAGAAACTGACATAGAGTGTTCCTTGTGCTGTTCGAAATGATCCTGCGCTTCTTTGACATTTGGTTTATGGGTAAGTAAGGAACAAGTCAAGTCTGTATTTTTTTTAAAAAACTATGAACGCTGTTGTCTTCCTGACAGATGGCAGGCAAGACTCTGCTCTGAACCTCACCACCAACGGCACAAGCAGCATCAGCATGTCAGTGGAGCTCAATGGAGTGGTGTACACTGGTGAGTACCACCCTCATGCAGCAAAAAGTCCAGCTCAACACATCCTTCCTTTCTCAGTTGAAATGGATATATAATCAAGAAAACAAAACAACACCAGAGATAAAATACACTCCTTTCCTTTTCAAGATGTCGATAACAAGATCCACATGTTCAGATCTGAACATTAAGCACAGAGCTGGAGCTGAGAAGCAATTAGCTCGCCCAACTCTGCAAAGTTGAGCTTTCTATCAGCACCTCTAAAGCTCACCAGTTAATATGTTGTGTTTGTTTTGTTTAGTGTGTACGGTAATGAAAAGTTAACAGTTTGTAGTTTTCATGGGTGTTATGTGGGCCAAGTTGTTACAGTGACTTAGCAAATAATTTGTAATGTCATAGCTCTTTAGTTTTAAAGATGCTGACGGGAGTGTTTTTAAACTCTTACCAGCTGTTTGCAGTCTTCCTGGTTGTAGCTTTGCACTGAACATAAAGACATGAGCGTTACTGATCTTTTCATCAACCCTCAACTACCTCTCAGAATGTTAAAAATGATCCCATAGATTATTTTCTATTCTTACATTTTCTTTTTCTTCCTAGGCGTTCTTTTTGCTCAGGGAGCAGCAGGGTCAGCCTCGTCCGGTGCGTCTGCATCGTCCGTCTCCAACAAGGCTGTCAGCAGTCGTGTCGCTCCACAGCAGCAGCAGCAGCAGCAGCAGCAGAACACACCTACCTCAACCTCCAGCAACCCTTTGTCTTAACAAACTCCCAGCCTTTCCACTTTTTTTTTTTTTTTTTTTTTTTTTTAATTACCACGCTAAGTAAAGCCAAAAAGCAACCTCATTTTCTATATCATCTATGCCAAAAAAAAAAAAAACCGAGAAGAACCATAAACCACACAGAAAGACACAAACTGAAACTCAGTTCACTTGAAGTACACTATCTCAGGTTTTCTCTCACAAACTCACCTCTTTTGTTCTTCATCGCCAAAATGAGTTAGAAAAAAAAAAATCCCAACTGAGAGCCAGTATATGCTAAACAAATACGTATGCACAACCTGTGAATTATTTATTTCTGCATAAATGTACAGATTATTGGAGAACAAAAGAGAAGGTAATAACTAGGAAGGGTAATGCATTGTTTACACACACAAACACAGCTACTGACTGACAATGATGTTTTATCCTCTAGGGGAGAGATTTTTTTTTTAAAGAAATTATTTTAACTCTTCATTGTCAATATTATCATTATTGTTATTCTCTTTATTGTGTTTTATCATTTAAATCTTTAACAATCCTCTCTCTGCAGGAAAAAAAATCTATATATTTAGAATTCTATATATATATAAAAAAAAAAAGAAATATGAATATTCTCTATTTTTAATCAGAAAAGCTTTAAAGGTATGTGTTGTTTCTTCAGGGCATATAACAATGTACCTTTGTGACCTCATTATGTGTAAAAACCTTATAACCTTATTCACATGGCAGCCATTTTGGATCTCTATGTGGAAGAACAAGTCCAGTGCAAGTCTGTGCTCCGGTTGTTTAAGAGATACACGTCATATCAACGCCACAGGTTCTCCTGTGAAATTCAAATCTTAAGGGATCTGCATCGATCTTTCAGTCACTTTTTAATGCATTTGGTCCATTATTTATCACTACCACACTCGAGGTAGGAGCTTATTACAGGGATACGTAGCTGTTGCAGTTTTTCATCCATCGACAGCTGACTAATATTTATCAAACATCCACTCCTGTTTGTTGCCATAAGGCCAGTTCAAGACATATCTATGCCAATCTTGCAGGTGGTTTGTCCAGCTTAGTGTTCAAAACGGCTGTTTTATAGGTGTAAGGTCAGTTGTGCAGGTAGTGAAATGAACTAAGACGTATCTTGAGGGGGGTGTTTGGCCTCCCCACACCTCATCATACCCGGACCTTCTGAGCCTCAGCGGCGTCCACACCGACTGTTCCTGTTCAGGGCTTGCGCTTTACGGGAATAATGCAAGTTTTCATGATTGTTCTCAGGTGTCTCATCGCTTTGTACAATATCCCGCAGTCTTCTATTGCACTCGACAGAGCAGTGCTTTTCCATCTTCTCGTTTTATCTTCTTTCTGACTTGGCCTTCTTGTGGAGTGATTGTCGTAAGCTCAGATGCATGCTTGTATTTGTAGACAAAAGCCCTTCAATCAGAAATGAAGTGATTTTAAATTCACGGGAGTTGAGTGTCCAGTAAACTGTTAATATTGTGGAGACGCTCACATGGACAATCAGGTGTCAGGAGACACTATCTGGACTTCAGAAGAAACCTGACAGTTATTTCAGCTCACATCTGATCTCTTGTTGTTTTTTTGTATTATACATCACAGGGGCTTTTATTTCTTGTTTCTGCTTTGTGTTTTGCATGACTTAGTGCTTTTTTTTTCTGATCCAAGTGCTTCTTATCCTGTGCTGTGATGTGGACAGAGTCTCTTTGAGGCCAGCTTTCCACCTATCAAGGATATAACAGAGAATGTCTTGTGATCCTCTGACTGTTCAGCTGGTGCTTAATTTGGGCTTTTTTTTAAATCAGAGCTGAGAGGTAATCATAGCTCCAGCGGTTCTTTTGCTTGTGTCTTAGTGCTCGTACGAGACACCGTGTCACTTCATAGTTATGTCTGTGCATTTTGAAGTAGATCAATCATTCAGCTTTTTGAACTTTAACCTGTGTGACCTCTCTGGACTGTTGGCTGTTAAAGATTGTTACTCCCCTCCTCCCTCCCTTCGACCCCACCGCTACGCAAAGCAGCCTCATTCCTACTGACGTTAGGAAGTAAATCAGGCTTTGTATGTGGGTTCTGTTCTGAGGCCTTAACGCAGCGTGAGATGACCAGAGAGCAAGCAGTACCTCCGTCTAATCAGTTTTTACTGTTCCAGTCAAATATCAGCAGATGGCTGTTGCGGCTTTGATTCTGGACTCGCCTCTCGGTGGGAAGTCACCACCAGCTGCTACACAAACAGCGGCCAGTTTTGGAAAGAACTCGTGGTTCTCAAGCCAACAAAGACGCAAACAGTCGTCAAAATGTTGGACTTTACATTTAGTAAAATATTGAGCGAGCTCCCCAAGGACTGAACTGCCCGGCTTCACTTTTTGTAGCTGGATTTTGAAATGTATGTGTCAGAAGGAGAAGGTGTGTCAGAAGGTTCTCTGGAAGCAGAAATAGGATCTCGTTGGTTGAGTCATCTCCGTTTTTCCATGGTGTTGGGGGGAAATTTGTTCGAAACTCAGGTCAAAATGTTCAAAGAATTTTAAATCAGTCAGCTTTGTTGAAATCATGGACCTAAGATTAAACTTACAAAAACGTTCTCTGCGTTTGGACAAGTTTGACATCTCATCTTTAGTTAAATATATTTTAAACATGAGATTTAGCTGAAGCTGAACCACATGAAGTTGCAACAAGTTCACTAAAATCAGAGGCTACAGAGATGGAAAGTGTACTTAGGTAGCTAGGCTAGTTAGCATTCAGGCTACCTCATCTGGTGGTCTGTTCTTCTCTCCATCATCATTTAAGATTATTGCATTATTGATATGGTGTAACAAGCCCAGTTACTAAGATTTTAAAAACCAAGATGGTGTTTTTCAATTCCAAGAGACCGAAAGCAGTGGCGGGACTAGCTTTAGCTAAAGCTATCTCACCAGCTAGCCTGAACTAGCCAGAGTGATGTTGAGTCCGTTAGATTTTTACCTTTTTTTTTTTTAATTCTTATGGATTTCTGCTCTGTTTTCCTCAAAATTGTAAAATTGGTTATACAATCTCTGTGGTAATGTAAGATGGTTTTCATTCATTTTGACCAAAGAAATGATTATTTCCATTTCAGAGCAGGACGTCTGTAGTACCGGTGGTGTGTACATGTAGTACTAACCTGTACGTAGCCCTCACTATGGAAAAACAAACAAGGAAACCCGGGGAAAGAACATTTTTCTTTAAACTCATTTATATTTCATGATATATTCCTTTCTGCTCTCCCTGTAAGCAGACCACATCTACTATGGTGGAAAAAGATGTTTTCACTTGTATTGTTCAGTCTGATGACTCACAGACAGACGGGGTTTCTCTTCAGGCCTCTGTTCGCCCTTTTCCACTACAGTGCTGATGCTGGTGCCAGTCTAGACTCTGTTCCAACCATTACCCAAAACTTCGGGTTGGAACTAATGATGTCTGTGCATCCTGAGAGACGCACAGAACGCGATTGTAGTCATGCAACACAATGTGGACAGTATTCAGTTTTGTACAGTATAGTAACAGTTGATGAAAGCCGTCTAATGTGCAGTAACACTGAGGTTCATTATTCACAGTACATGAACACTAATTTCATGGTCATTTTGTGATTTCTAGGCCACAGGAGATAGTCCAACTTGGCTTACATAACATTCGGTTCTCAAATCTGTTGAAATGTGGGCCGGTTAGCTAACGGCACCGAGGCAGACCCGGTTCTGCACCGTTCTGATGGAAAAGAGGCAGAAGAGTAGCAGGTGTCACAGTTGCTGGTAATGGCGGACAATCAAATAGAGACATGCTGTGGCTGGAAGCATACGTTTGTGGGGGGAGGGATCCTGGAGGAAGCTAAATTCAATCAATGCTGATCTAAAGGATCAACATTGCTTTTTTAGATTTGACCCTGTGACCTTTTTGGCCCCCAAGGCGACATTCAAGCACCTGCCCCCCTTCAGTGGATCCATGTTTATCGTATATCTATTGACTGCTTCTGTCGGATATTTGCATTTGAACAGTGGAGGTGCTGCAGCTCGCTCGCTCTCACTCTTTCTCTCCGTCTCTCTGTGCATAGCAGCATTTTCAGGGAAGGTTGGCATGTTTTTAATTGCGTGGTAGCGACAATCAGGAGATGTTAAGACAACACTGTATACCTCCTAACACTCTGACATCCCTTCAACCACAATCAAGCCCCGTTTCTACCTCAAGACTAAAACTTTGGCGGATTTCTGCGCATCAGCCACAACAGAGAATCCTGTTGAATCATGTAGGAAAACCTCATCAAAAAGATGTTGACGCTGGTTCACAAAGACTATGAAAGAGATTGTGACAACCACAGACAATCAGACATTACCGGAAATCTGTCTCTCACCTTTAATTGATAACCACTTTTAGATAGGCGAGGGGAATCACAGAGGCTGGTACCGCTGAGTACTCGCTTCGAGCCTCGGCCTCTGTGGTTAGAGCTCCCCTCAGTGGAAGGTGTTGTTATGACGCACAATCAGTTAAGTTTCCCTCAATGGAAACGCAAAAGGGTTCAAAGGCTTCAGAGATTCACTTTACTTCAGTAGAAATACATACTTTCAGTGTTCATATCCTCATTTCCTTCCAGTGTTTTCAGAGTTGTATCATTGTTGGGGTGCAAAAGCCTTTAAATCAGCATCACGGAACATTAATACTCAGTTTGAACATTAAAACTCGTTTTGGCCTTTCAGAGGCAGGAGCTCTTCAAGGCATACAACGTAGGAAGTAATTCAGAAAAACAACCCAGCCAGTGTATTATTTCAATAACCAAGCAGCCTGTGTCTCTGTAGCAGATCCTCTACATCAGAGGCAGCTGATTTCTGAAACCTTACGACGGCGTGTAGCTGTGAAACATGATCTGTGTTCGTTGGTATCAAACCCAAAGTGGTTCTGACGTTTGAAAAGCAGATTTTTGGTTAAAACCGGTATTTTTTTCCTGAATGCTGCGTCTCTGCATCTTTCGGTGGTTTCCTTCGTTGAGCCTGTAGGCGGTTTTCATCATTACGTTTGACGATGCTCACACAAGACTTTGGCTTCATTTAATCGTCAAAGTCGCTGTTGTGCGGTAATGCAGTTGAATAGCTTGGATTGATTTCACAAGTCTGCTTGTTTGATGCTGTTGTACAGATTGGAAAAGTGGCTTAGCCGGACTAATTATCATCGCATTCTTTATTGAGTACATTTTGTTTGTCTTGGAGTTTAATTTCCTAACAATATAATCATATCAGCACAAACCCTCAGAGTCTCTTGCGATTGGCTGACTCACTCTTTCAAGTGTTTTACATTGAAATATTGCTGCTTTTTCTCCCACCAGAGCTGTAGATAAAAAAAAAAAAAAACTTGTTAAGATCTTACTAGGTCCAGAGCGTCTTGCATGGAAAACAAACTCCTGTTCCCACATGCTGCCGACACGGACATTTTGCTGTAACATTTACGGGTTGAGGTGCATGTGGGTTCAGTACTTCTGACTGGACTTCACCACTGACTTTACCTCCAGTAGGTGGACTGTGGACAGGGAAAATGATAATGAGAAAATAACAAGATGCCTTCTGCTGTGACAATTGTATGAATTAACCTGTATTAATAAGATTCATTACATAGATTTTTTTTTCTGAAACATGGCTTTTTAGGGTTTATATCATGTTTATATAGGTTTTTGCTATTTCTTTGCTTTTTTTTTTTTTTTGTTGGACATGCTGTAGCAACCCCGGCACACAGAGATTACTTCTAGAGCAGGTTTCTGAATACTGCGACGATGATGATGATGATGATGATGAGAATAATGTGATTATTTTAGGGAAGCATGTGACGTGTGTGTGTGCGAGCTTCACGTGTCTTCGAGTATCTTCAGAACGGAAACAAGGCTCTGTCTCTTGTCTCTTACAACTTCTCAGGAAAATCTACCTCTACCTCCAGTTTGATGCATTTAACCCAGTGAGGGGCTCAAGTTACAGTTTTAAGCGGGAAGAGGGCATGAAGAGCGAACACCAGGGTCCGAAATCAACTTCTACATACCAGATTAAGACGCCGTTTTCTGATGCTACACATGAGCTGAAAACAGAACACCCCCCCGGCAGGTTTCTTTTTTCACCTTCTTTGGTTTAAGAGGTTCATTTCGAACACTGGGACGGCTCTCCGTGTCTCTGTTCCTCTCTCCTCGTCGTTACACGTTCGTAACACTTCTGCTGTTTAGTTTATTTGAGCACCGACAACAGGGAACCTCCAGCTCAACAGCTAACTACTACTAGTACTACAACGAGTACTGCTTCTCGTACCACTGTTAGTACGGCAAGTCTCCTTTTGAGTTTTTCAGTCTGCTCTATTAATGTGTGCTTATTCCTCCTTTTTCTATAAATGATTACCTTTTTTTTTTTTTGATGAATGGGATGTTTCCCGGTAACCACGGCAACAGTGAAGTGGCGGCGGGCAATGCAACTGTTTTTTTTTTCCTTTGTTTTTTTTCTCTTTTTTTTTTTTGGAAGGGTGAAGAGCTGTTCTTGCCTATTTACTCAATATGTGTTTGTGTGAATACTTTTATTTTGAATCTGAAATTAATAAAATATCACCTTTCTTAAATGTCAACAGAGCTTTGGATGTTATTTTGTTGTCAAGTATTTCTAGATTAGTTACTAATCTGTCTTATATTTACATAATTAACTCGACCAACCAGCAGTACTCGTGTCCAAAATGGTTTGCAATACAATTTTCCACAAAAGTTTGTTTTAAACAGTTTTAAAAAATCACAAACAAGACGGGAGAAACAAATATATTTGTGCTAATTTCAGGGGTAATCTATTGTATAATAGTGGCTTAAATACCCTGTAATTAAAATACTTCTAGCAACCAATGTATTCAGATCCTTTACTACACTAGAAGTACCAATAGCTGTCCTGTAAAGCAGCGGTTCTCAAACGTTTTGAGCCACGACCCCCAAGTTAACATAAGTTCAAGACCCCCAATTTGAATTTTGAATATATCATGAGTAATAACTTTGTTGTTCATGCATTAATGCGTTAAAGATTTATGTGTTAATTCCACAGATTAATCTCTGTACACGTTAATTTTCTTTTGAATGAATGAATGAAGGGCTGCAAGGTGGCGCATTGGTAGCACTGTTGCCTCGCAGCAAGAAGGTCGCCGGTTCACGTCCCGGTGGGGGCACCAGGATCTTTCTGCGTGGAGTTCTCCCCGTGCAGCGTGGGTTCTCTCCGGGTTCTCCGGCTTCCTCCCACACAGTCCAACAAACATTGGTGATTCTAAATTGTCCGTAGGTGTGAATGTGAGTGTGCTTGGTTGTCTGTCTCTAAGTGTAGCCCTGTGATACCTGTCCAGGTGAACCTGCCTTCACCCTGAGTCAGCTGGGATAGACTCCAGCCCCCCGTGACCCTAGTGAGGATTAAGTGGTGTATAGATAATGACTGGATGAATGAATGAATTTATTTTATTTTGAACAAATGAAAGGAAAAAAATATATAAAAACAAAGGAAGAAGTATACACTTTTAATTTTTACAGTCCTAATACACATTTATTTGATAAATGTAGTCTTCATTTTATTTATTTATTTTTTAACAATGATCTGGCAACCCCCTGAAATTATCCTTGGACCCCCACGAGGGTCCTGACCCCCAGTTTGAGAACCACTGCTATAAAGTACTCTGCATTTACATTAAAACTGCAGAAGTAAAATGTATCAAAAGTAAAAGTGTTGTGCTCCTGTCAGTGCTCTATTATTTAATATTATTTCTAAGAATGTGTTTCCTACCTGGTGAACTAGTTGTTGCCTGATTTAATCCATCCATCAGTTATCTATACACCGCTTAATCCTCACTGGGGTCATGGGGGGCTGGAGTCTATCCCAGCTGACTCAGGGTGAAGGCAGGTTCACCTGGACAGGTAACCAGTCTATCACAGGGCTACACT